ATAACGCAAGAGGAACGGTTGCGACCTTCAAACAAGCGAATAGGATGAATCCGTTGGGTGACCAGGTTTGAACTATTATCGCCAAAGTTGGCGATGTTTACATTTACCGAGTTCTCTGCGGAAGTGCTTCCATTTAACTGAATTGTTGTTAGTTTACAAGGTTCAAACCGTGATTATAACAGGACATAAAAAATGCTCTAGGACTGAAATCTAGGGATATACCCAAAATTCTTTCTTGCACACCGCTTGGTTATTGACAACAATGTAGCTTAGAGTTTCAACTGGCGATGCTACATTTCCACCAAAGCTTTTGCAAAAACTGCAGTTCATGCATAAGATCTATACTATTTATATCGCTTTGAATTTTATCAGTTGATGCTTTTTGCAGTTTTTGGTATAAGTTGAGCCGATCTTTTAAATTATATGTGATTGAAAATACGTGATACTGATGCGTATTTTTTGTAAGGGTAGACACCAGCGCCGTAGACGCGATCGACAAATTGCTCAGACCTTTTTGTGCCTATTATTGCAATCATAGTAATTTGCATGACATTTATCTTTTTGGTGATTAATTATTGTTATTTCTACATGAAAAAGGTAATTGCAGTTACATATTGCTTTATTTTAAGCCTAGCATGTATATTTATCAATTTGTTTAATCTAGAGAATAAGTTCATTTGGTTATATAGTAGAATGTTCAAAATTTGGATATTTAATATCTGGTATGGTCTAAAATCATATCTGGTTGGTCCTTTAGGTCACTAGTAACTTTTTTTTTATATACACGTAAACATTTTACACTTGGGGGATTCGATATTTTTTCATAATAAAACATGTCAAAACTCCTGATTCTGAAATTCAATTTGTCACTGATACCAACCTGGCGAATCATTATTTATTACTTTTTGCTTTCATTGCTCCATGTCTGTCAACACACTGCAGCTTGAGAAATGATACACGTGAGTGATATCTAAACATTGTTAGTCCAAAGGGGCTTTGTTCCTAAAGGACTATTGTTTTCGTTTCGTGATTTTGTGTTGAATCACTATAAATGGCAAATCGCTTTTCAAACTGTTGCCGCCAAATGTTGCATTATATTTGAAGAAATTAAATAATGAAAAATCTGCATAAATGTATGTATATTTCTTGCATTGTGATAAAACAACGGTACATAGAGCCATCAAATTTTAAATAACGTAATCCTCCGGCTCTATTCTTATATGCCCCCGATATGTGTTCTGCGCTTGTTTTTGGCGCGATTGCGTGTTGCATGGCAACCCTTTTGATGTTGAAAACTCTTTTGCTGGAGTGGTTTAATTGCTTGTTGGTTCGTGTCGTGCGTGTTTTGAAATGGCCTATTGTTGCAACGATAGACGTGTGGCAAAATTCAGTCGCGTATTTTAGATTGTGTGAAAAGTAAATTTAGTATTAAAAGGTATAATGTTGAAGTTGTTAACGAGTCTTTTGTTCACGGGTGGGTTTATGAGGATCAAAGTGTATTTTTGGAATTTTTGTGGGATTCTTAAAACGGAGTCCGAAATGCTGAGCTGCTATGAAAACTCAGACGAAGAAGGGCATTTCTGATAGTTCTTGTGTGGATTTGAAGTCCAATGGTTGCTGGTAAAGTATGTGGCTGTCAGCAGAGTTTAAGATTTGGATCGTGGTTTTCTTGTAGTACTTAAGTTAACTTTGGAGGAAGCTTTTATCGTTCCTTTTGAAATTTTGAATTGCAGAAAGACATGTGATATAGCAAAATCGTGGCACTTTTGTTCACAGACATTATGTGACTGGCGAAATTTTATTAATGAATGTATTATGGTAAATGCATTTTATTTTATATATATATATATATATTTTTTTTTAGATAGTCATATTTATTGTTTTTTTACTATGAATTTCTATTGTTATTGTTGTTTTTTGAATTGTTTGTAATTTTACTTATTTTAGTTTACTTTGTTGATTTATACGCATTGCATAGAGTGTGCAATTCGTAGATGTTTTTTTTAAGTTTAAACGGGTTGCTGTGTACATGGTATTCTTTGAAATTATTGTTGTTATGTTAATTTATTAAAGCAAGGTGTGCGTAGTCCTTAGATTTTTTCGTTGCCTAGATTGTGCAATTCGTAGATGTTTTTTCAAGTTAAAACATATCGCTGTGTGCATGGGTTCTTGTCAAATTTTTTGGTTAGAAACTTTATGTTTTTGCCATCTAAATTTTTTGTTTTTTTGTTTCGGATATTTAGCTTAAATTGTGTGTTCAAAACATGGTTTTTGCATGTGCGAAAACTGTGTGTTTGGAGACATTTTAGGCTTAAAGTTCGAAATGTAGACAATAATTTTAGATAGTAATATGGCAGCATGGAGTTTCTCGCCAAAAATGTTTGGTGTCCTGAGGGTGCATATAAGAGTAGTTCCAATCCTCCTACAAATATAGGCATGTGGAAGACCAAATTTGAAATTTGTTTTATTATCGATTTCATATTTTGTAAAACTTTAAGGATTTTTTGAGTACAACTCAATAATAAAGCAAGGAAGCAAACTCTACAGGCGAAAAAAAACCTTTTTATCTCCAGCGTGTGGAACTGTGTATCGGAAATTCTAAAGATACGCTCATTTTAAAATTATTTTGCGACATTGTATTGAACTGAATTTTATGGTTTAAGTGCAAAGAACAAGATATTGAATAAATAGAGGTAACACAGAAAACATAAAAAAGCCCCTTTGGACATAATTTAAAATCTGCTGCCTTTCAGTTTTTTTTTTTTTAATTTTTTAATTTTTATAACTGATTGCCAGAGAGTGCAATAACCTTTTATGTTACTTGGCGATGATCACAGGCTTAAATACATGCTTAAATGCCTGTAGTCTTCAGCTGTAGAATGTCAAGTGCGTCGACAAGGAAAAATTTTTAAAAATCTTTTTCCACATGCAAAAAAAAAAAAAAAAAAAAAAAAAAAAAAAAAAAAAAAAAAAAAATCAGATTTATAAATGATATTCATAGGCCAAAAGATTACATTTAGTGCTGTATGAAATCTAGAATAACTGGTTTGTTTTTCACTTTAATCCAAAACTGGTGCCAGAGCTGGTATGACCACATTTGGCGGCAGAATTTAGATGAGGCAAACTTTTTTTAATTTAGAGAAGCACCGAGCAACAAAATTAAGGGATGGCAAAGTTTTTAGAATTTAGGGAGGTGCTTGGCAGCAAAATTTTGGACCCTCAGAGATGACATTGTGCTACAAAATGTTTAGCGCCAGCTCTAGATAAGCCTTAAGTATATGTGGGAATTTATTTTTTCATGACTAAGAAAAATCTTAAGCCTGTGCAAAAAAAAGTTGTAAATAAAATAAATTAATATAATTCAGGCTTAACTTTGTCAGCATGCAGTTTGAAGCAAGATGAAATTTATCAGAACAACATGTTTTTAGTTGCCAATAGCAGTCCCTCGCCAAGCCTAATCGCCGCCGTCGTGCAAATGTCTAGCGAGCGCCTTTATGCAGTGACTATATTAAGGCGACATTGCTTATGGTTAACATTTAAAATGAAGCATTATTAGCATAATAATATGAAAAACCAAGAAAATTACATTTTGTCTTTTATCTAAATATGCAAACATTTTGAGCTTTGTTAAAACCCACACTCAAACATATTTATTGAAAAATTATACATATGTTTATTAAAATTATACATATTATTATTTATAAAAAGCCGCCCAACCGGTATAGTGGTTAGCGTTGCTGACTGCCGTGCCAAAAGGCCCATGTTAATCTCGGAGAAAGGCATGGATGTTGAATGTATTATGTCCGTTCTGTACGAGGGCATTTTAAATATGTGAGGCAAAAGTCCTCTCGAAAGGTCGGTGGTAGGGAAAGAGGGGTCAGAGATGCTCGGACCAACCCCCCTCCCAGGATGTTCTCCATCAAAATTGGGGCATGAGTAAATTGTGGTATTGAAGTATGCTAAATCGCACTGTCACCTGTAAAGTGCACAAGGCTGTTGCCAACGACAGGCGTATGTTGCCACGGGGAATTTCATGGGCTTGGGCTGACGAAAGGTTAGTATTAGTCAACAGCAACATGTTATGAAAACGTAACTCTGCAAACGAAGCGAAATAATACACTAAGCGCATTGCATACCAAATATATTGCTGAACATATCTTAAAATTAAAAACAAATTAATATACATATCTGATAAGTTTGCACTGAATAAACTGTTGTTCGCAGCATAGTTTACGACAATATTCAAACTGCGATTACAACAGGGCACAAAAAATGCTCTAGGGCTGAAATCTAGGGATATATCCAAAATTCGTTTCTGCACGTTGACAACGGTATAGTTCAGAGTTTCAACTGGCGATGCTACATTTCCACCAAAAGTCTGAAAAAACTGCAGTTCATGCATAAGATCTATACTATTTATATTGCTTTAATTTTTATCAGTTGATGCTTTTGCAGGTTTTGTATAGTGAGCTGATCTTTTAAATTATATGTGATTGAAAATACGTGATACTGATGCGTATTTTTTGTAAGGGTAGACACCAGCGCCGTAGACGCGATCGACAAATTGCTCAGACCTTATTCTGTGCCTATTATTGCAATCATAGTAATTTGCATGAGATTTATCTTTTTGGTGATTAATTATTGTTATTTCTACATGAAAAAGGTAATTGCAGTTACATATTGCTTTATTTTAAGCCTAGCATGTATATTGATATTATGATAAACTGTAATATTGTATGATTATTACTATAAGTTTTAATGTTTAAAATGCTTCATACCATGCATTTTAAATATATGTATGTGTATTTAGGTGATTTGGGTCCTGTTTATGGTTTTCAGTGGCGGCATTTTGGGGCAAAATATGTAGATATGAGTAAAGACTATACTGGAGAAGGTGTAGACCAGTTAACATATATAATCAAGCTGATAAAAGAAAATCCTAATGATAGGCGAATTATAATGGCAGCTTGGAATCCTGTTGGTAAGTATTTAAACTAGCTTTCATTAAAGTGTTATTAATTACACTTTATAAACATGTGTGATTTCTTCAGGATCAGTGTTGAAACTGCTTTAATTCTTCTTATATTCTGAAAATTATACTCTACTTAAATGTTTAATTTCTCAATTCTGTATTCCAAAATGCTATGTTTTTAAAAATGTGTCAATTATTAATCCTAGGGAGAGGGTATCTGTCAGGAATAGTTATAGCATTAAGTCTTCGATAGTCTCCACAGGGACGAAAATTTCCGTCTCTTTTAGAGACTAAGTGGAGAGGACTAGCCCATGGAGATGTAGACTGTCTTATTATATTGTTGTTCAACATATACTGGAATTCTTGTTTGGCAATCTGCATTTTTTTACTATCTAGCTGTCTTGGTGTGAAATACACCGGATGACCTTCGGTTAAACTGTGGTGTTTAATATTGTGCTTAACATTTGCTATCAAAAGATTAGCTTTTGTAATATTCGGATACTTGGATAACAGATCATGACGTTTTAACTTATCATGTACTAAACTTACATCATTCATTTTGGAGATGGATGTAATCGCACATTGAGTAGTAAGGTTAGTTACACCATTGATTAATCTTTTGTTTAAATGAATTAATAACTTGAAATGGTCTAAAAAGTCTGCTCCGATTATGCCTTTATTAATTTTGGCAATAATGAATGGCCATCGAAAAGCTCTACGAAGGCAAAGATCAAGCATTAAAAATTTTACCTCCATAAGTGGGAATTCCCATTGGCGGCGTATAATTTGAAGTCTCTTTGAAGTTTGTCTCTTTCGGTAGCAAGCACAAACTTTGAAGTTTATCTTTTTTTGTAGGTAATAAACAAGCATCTGTGTTGGAATCAATTAGAAAATGAAAACCCGTGTGTTTGTCAGTCACAAATATTCGGTGTTTGCGGCCATCCTGAACATAACCTGCAGCAAAATCAGCCGCTAATTCTGCTGCTAGTTTACATTTTCCGACTTCTTTTGACCCCAAGTGCAGTTAGGTTGACACTTTTCAGGATTGCATTTTGAGTCAAACATGTAATGGTAATAACAATACTTTCCATTTGGATTAAATATTTTGCATTTATTACTTCTACTTCGCTCTCTGTATCGCTACTACGATTCCGAGACTGAGATTGGCGAGAAAAACTTATTGTTTTTCCAGAGAAGAAATTTTTATCAGTAACTCATCAACCGAATTTAAATTTTTGCCAGCGGAATAAATTTCACGTTTTGAATTCATTTCCATTATTTTGTTGGCCATTAAAGCTATTTTGTCTAACCCTTCATCGGAAACCAGTAAAATATTTTTTATCTAGTCAGGCATTTTTTCTAACCGCAGTGTTTTCAGTACAGTCAAAAGTCGTTAATCGATTCCGGATTATCGATTTTTCCGGATTATAGATCATCAGTTTAAATCTCGTAAGATGGCATGCAGAAATTCTAAAATTAAAAATATGAAACCATAATTTATGAAATAAAGAACAATTATGATCTAAAGGGTATCAAAATTTACAAAAAAAAAAAAAAAAAAAAGCTTAGTATTTATTTGTTTACTTTATTAAACATTTCTTTTATTGTAAGTTGTTTAAGTTGCTTCGTTTTATGTGATAATACTTTCTCTTTAATTCCATAAAAAGACAATTTCTTGTTCAGTTACAAAGTTCCGCTGTTCAAGTCCCATTAATTGCTGTGCCGAGAATACCGACTAACTTGTCAATCGAAATTTTTTTCGTTTTCACTAACCTCTCTTGTCACATTCTTCATGTCTTTATCCATTTTTTGCAGCAATTCCACTTTTTGTTTGTTGGACATCGAAACATACTTTCGTTTTGTAGATCCTTTGGAAGTTCCAGCATCGGAAATTCTATTTGACATAATCGAAAGTTCAAGTTTACTTTTATAAAATTGCTCTTACAGTCTGTAAAAAATAATAAGCGGGATCCAATTCGAAGATTAAGGAACAATGCAATCATTAACATTAACTGAAATAGACTTCATACTATATTTAGCAGATATAATTCATTCTCTCTGTACTTTGAAATTTGCTTTGCACTATGTATGGTATTTGTGCTGCAATGACACATTATTTGTTAAGTGTAAAAATACTGCATATGTTGGTTAATTATGCATATTTGCAAGTTCTTAAAATAGAATTTGAAATTAGTTTGCAATTGGCAATTTATTACTGTGAACAGTGAAAGGAAAAATAATAAACATTATTATTAGTTTTAAAGAAAATCATTTTATATAATTAATCTTTCAAAATATATAATATTTAAATTTACTTCTACATTATTTAGATATTTACACATTATCTGACTGACCATGAATGTTGGGTACTACTGAATCATGAAAGTTGGCAGAGATTTTGCTAAATTTGCACTAATCATTTCTGTAGAATTTTGTCTGAAACTCTTATGATAAAACATTCACCAGGCTCTATGCACAGTCCACCAAATAGCCACTGCTGTGAAAGTATTTAACATGCTTTGCTTTTATGCTTGAAGAAAAGGCTATCATTAGTTAAATCCTGTCATTTACCGGAAAGTCTATTTTGAGCATTATGAGTATCAACTTACTGCAGGTAATTGTTCCTTTTTGTGAATGCCCTTGAACAGTGTTGCATTCTGAACTAAACTTGTCACAGTTTTTCATGTATTGCCATTGCTTATCCATGGTTACATCAGACGAATTCACAGATGTTAAGAGTGTATTGCGATGTCACACTTTGGCATAATCGGGACTGATTGGTGCTGCTTGGTACCAGTTTCATAATGGGATAATACACAAGTTCCATTTGTTTTATTAATGTTATTTATGATGGTTTAATCAAAACATACAGTGCTGAGATTATGAAATAAGTGTATATAATCTGACAATAAATATACTAGTCTCAATTAGTATTTCCAAATTTCATATTCCTCTCTCTCTCTCTTTTTATGGTGAACAAATGAAAACCAACAGAAATATTCATGTATTTTTGTGAAGAATCTATCGGATTAACCAGTATTAAGCAAATATTGCTGAGCTAGTAATAAATTCTAATGCTTATACCTTCAATTTATTATTTGAAAGAGTTCTTCCCAAATTTAATGTTTATATTTGTAGATATACCAAAAATGGCTCTTCCACCTTGTCATTGTTTTGCACAGTTTTATGTATGTGATGGAGAACTCTCTTGCCAGCTATATCAAAGATCAGCAGATATGGTAAGATAGTTAATTTCTTATAAATTTAGGTTGCATTAAAAAAATGAGTGGAAATTTGATATTGCATTCAAAGGTCTTTAAAAAAGTATTGCATTTAAAGTAAATATTTGGCCCATTTTTTAAACATTTTATTTTTCCCTGAATGTGTAATAATAATTAGTGTTATAATATTTATAGTGATAGGTTTTCGAAAAGCTTACAAGGAGAGAGTGTGTTACGAGTGTGAGAGAAAGACTTTTTCTTAATTAAACAGCAGAACACACTAATCTGCATATTTACGCAGCCAAACATGCATGTGTGCATACTTTTTTTAATTTAATTTTTTATTTTTTTTAATGACAGCTGTTATTTCAGAAACGGTATTTTCTGATTATCAGCAGTCCAACTCAAAAGTCAATTAATTTTTTCCCAGGCTAATGCTCAAAAGGCAACAGTAATTTTCAAAATGATGGAGCACTAAAAATTCCATTAAATAGCAAAACAGCTAGAAACTTCGGTACTATCACATGTCTACCCAACTGTCCTGCAAAGTCATCAAATTTTGCAGATTAATTTTTTGCTAACCTAACATATGAAACACAAAACCCATTTTTAAAAATTTCGGCATGCCGAAAATTACATAATAAAGCAATGAATTGATGAAATTAAAAATGCACGAAACATACATAATAAACCAGTAAAAATTGCATCATGTTATCATCCATAAGGAAACACTCAAAATTTAGTAAAGCAATAACTAAATTTAAAATGCAGTAAACACCCATAATAATAAAAAAAATCTGATGTGAACATCACGACTTCCTTGTATGGAATATTAAATCATACGCAGTTTTTGCATTTCACTTAAACTTATTTTCTCGAATTCCATTAGAGATATATTTCTCATTCAATTAATTCAGTTCTCACTTTGTGGCAAGCAAAAGTACTTAAAACCTCAAAATATCTTTATCAAAAGTTGAAAAAATAGGAAAATATAAAACAACAAATACAGTTAAAACAATTTTACAATTAAAATTAGAGCTTCTACACAAAAACAAGCAGTTGGCCAGTGGGCGAAAAGACAGATTTTTTGGTGCACAAAACTGGAAGTTTACTTTTGGTCTCACTTGGCAAAAAGACACTCAAGGTACAGAAACTGACTTAATTCACTATTCTGCTAAGTTTCAAATGTAAACAAATATGGCCACTATGGTAAAAAAATTTGGCTTAGCCACACTTAAACCTAGAACTGTTGCATATAGATTAACTAAAGGCATAAAAACTTTAACCGGAAGATAAGAACAATATAATTCAGTCATTTTTAAAGCAAAAATGCACAATTTACTGACATACAAGAATAAAAAAAGTAAACAAAACTGACGCACTCCACCGGGGCAGTGACACCCTCGATTACATATATGTATATACGATTGGTATGCAGCCTGATTGTAACCAAAAAGAGAGGTGCACAGCTACATGTTATAGCAGTCCTATATACAAAATTTCAACGTTCTGAGGCTACTCATTTTTGAATTAAGCAAGATACATACGTACAGATGTCATGAAAAACTCTTTTTTGAATCCTTTTTGTAGCTACTTATATATGTCACGCAAAAACATCGTTAATTTGTGTCCGATTGCGGTCAAAATGGATATATTTTCGATGAAATATGATACCTGAAAATTTTCGGGATTACAATACTTCCTTTACTCTGTACGAGGAAGTAAAAAGAAAGTTAACTTTCTATTGTTTTCAGTCTTCTGTCTGTGTGCAAAACAATTTGCTTTGATTAAAAAAAAAAAAAAAAAAATCTGATATGTACTCCACATAACTTCCTTGTATGGAATATTAAATTATATGCATTTTTTCTTGCATTTCATTTAACATATTAGATTGAACTAAACCTACTTCGCCGACAGCACATAAACTACAATAGAATAAATGCATTCTTTAAAATTCACTTTGTTTACCATAGCGACATTCTGGCGCTAGGTTTACTTAACAGTATTATATTTGTTTCATATTATAACTCAGAATGCACAAAATTTATATCATTTAAAGAATTATCTAATAGTTGCCACATGTTCTATTCAAATACTATAACAAAGCTAGAACGATGTATAAAAGAAATTAAGTAAACAAAATGAAGAAGAAACAGTTTTTCACTGACGATTGAGTATTTCTCATTCAATTAATTCAGTTTTCACTTCGCGACAAGGCAAAAATCATAAAAACTCAAAATATCTGTATTAAAAATTACGAAGTAAATCTTAAATACTTATTTCCTCGAAAAAATTCCAGAAAGGATTAAGCATGATTTAATTCGCAATAATAAATGAAGGCGTTATTTTTGTGTTGCGAAGCTTAGTCTCTCTAGATTGGCAACAAATCTACAATTCTGCTGTTTCAAATGTAAACAAATATGTCCGCCATGTTATTTAAAACTTAACCGCACTTAAACAGCTTTTAAATTGTTGATAATTGTACAAATATTGCTTCCAGAATTATGAAAGGCATAAAAACTTTATCCGGAAGATAAAAACAACATAATTCAATCATTTTTAAAGCAAAAAATGTACAATTTACAAACATATAAGAGTAAAGAAACTGAGATCACTGAGCCGGGTAACATTCTTGGGAGTGGATATATTTATATACGTTTGGTGCAGGCGATTGTAACCAAAATACGAGGTGCACATCTACCTGTTATAGCAGTCCTATATACAAAATTTCAACGTTCTGAGGCTACTCGTTTTTGAGTTATGCGAGATACGTACGTATATATGTTCGTACAGACGCCACGAAAAATTCTCTTCAGAATTCATTTTAACGCAGTTTTTTTGGAGGAAAAGAGTCTTTTATTCTGTCCTTATGTATAGATATCACGCAAAAACATCGTTAAATTGCATTCAATAGCAGTCAAAATGGATATTTTCGTTGAAATATGCTGCCTGAAACTTTTCGCGATTACAATACTTCCTTTTTACTTCGTACAAGGAAGTAAAAAAAACCAAAGAACTTCAGAATTCTCGGCATTGCAGTGCAAAGTGGCTAAGCTAAGCTAAAATTACCTTATTTTCTATTTCAGTTAATGTGCAGATTGCATTGTTCCTTAATCTTTGAATTGGATCCAGTTGAATTGGATCCAGTTTATTGTTTTTTGCAGACTGTTAGAGCAATTTTATAAGAAGTAAGCTTGAACTTTGGGTTATGTCAAAAAGAGTTTCCAATTCTGGAGCTGCGAAAGGATCTGCAAAGTGAAAGCATGTTTCGATGTCCATTAAACAAAATTGGAATTGCTGCAAAAAATGGATAAAGGCATGAAGAAAGTGACAGAGAGGTGATTTGTTTCTCTAACCATTCCAAAATCTGTCTAATCATTATGCTCTGCGGGGGGGGGGGGGGGGGTCGTCGCGTCGCACAATGAACTGAAAGTTGATCTGTCAGCACTATCCTCATCTTCAGGACAGATGTTTTTTTTTATTCGGCTTATAATTCCTCACTAAATGTAGTGTTTCATCTCGATGTACTCCGATATAATTTAAATCAATTTCCTCGTCATTATAAATATCATGAATATACATCAAATAGTTTTCTGATTGCAATTTTCTAATTTCGACTATGCATAATGTAGGTTTTATGCATGTGCGCGTTGAAAGAAATGTTTAAAAAAGTGAACAAATAATTTATATATATATATATATATATATATATATATATATATAAATTTTGATACCCTTTTGATCATAATTGCTCTTTATTTCATAAATTACGGTTTCATATGATGATCTATAATCCGGAATCGAAGTCCCGACGAGTCCGGATTAAAGACTGTATAGGTTCTTGAATTTTGTTAAAGACAAAGTCTTTAGTTGTATATAAGTATCGAATGACTTTCTTGACAGCATTCCAATCTATGTTCCTAAGTTTTTCTTTTCATTTACTCAGTAGATTGACAGTGCATGTTATATCTGGTCTGCTTTTTATTGCAATATATAATAATGCCCCTACTGCTTGTCTATATTCTGTATTATCCTGTAGAAGATCATCTTCAGTTTCTAGTTTGTAGTAGTTTGTTTCCATTCGTGTATATGTTGGTTTTTCGGTTTGGAGTCTAAATTTTTTAACTGTTTCTTCAATTTTATTCTTTTGGTTTATGGCAAACATTCCATCTGTAGTTCTTTCGATGTTTATGCCAAGGTAGTAGTAGGTGACTTCTCCTAGGTTTTTTTTATTTCCAATCTAGCGTTTAATTGTTGGATTGTTTCCATTACATCTTCTTCTCCTTCACTTCCTATAAGATATCATCTACATATAATATTATATACGTGAATTTTCCATTGATTGTTTTGAAACACAAGCATGGGTCTGCTTCATATTCAAAGAATTCAAATTATAATGCAAATATCCCCCCCCCCTTTTTTTTTTTTTTTTTTTTTTTGAAAAAAAAAGGATTTCCTCTAAAAAGGATTTCCTCTTTATCCCTTCTGTATTTGAAAGATTATTAGATTACAAGACAATAAGTAAATAAATAAATGGAATAAAAATAAAATATTTAAAGTAAAAGAAAAGAATAGAAGTAGTTAATAAATTAGAGAAAAGATCAGTATAAAAGCAAATTTGTAATGTAACATTACTTTTACTTGCTAATTCCTTTTTGTGGTTTTCCCCATGTGTAACGTGTATACGAGCCAGTTTCTCTTAGAAAGTCCTCCACGAAGGCATCCTCCCTTAGGCAGATAGACCTCAGGCTTTGCCGTAATTAAATAACCTAACCTGACATAACCTGCTAATTCCTAAGCTTAAGAAGGTAGACAGATATATGCGTATTATTTCATCTGTCATCATGCAGTAATGAAAAAGCAATGCCAGAAAAAGTAAGATTTAAAAATTTGCAAGAATAAGAATAATTTTGAAAGCTGCATAAATAGGAAGATACCATGCACAAACATTAGGTCCACCCCTCCCCGAAGCAAAAAAGTGAAAATTCAGCGATACTCCCATTGTGATTCGAACCACT